TCTGTTGTAGACCATGGTGTTCCTTTTTCCAACCGTATTTCACTAAACCCCTTGCAACTACTCCCAACTCCTTTATACTTCTTGGTAGGTAGGGACACCCTGAAATACTGGATTACTTTGTTACTCCTATTACTATTAGCTAACTAACAAATTTAAGTTACTGACAAGAGACCATTAACTCTAACAGTCCTCGACTGCTCATTGTTGACATTCATTAGCAATAAACCTCCTTAGTAGGTTAACTCTCTAGTGAACATGTTATTAGGCCAGATTAATACAACACCTTCTAGTGACCGGTCTTCTTTCTGTTCATAGCTTGAGCACCTGGGCCTTTCTCTGAGGGGAAGGTACACAAGGCACTGTGGAACGTGCTGAACTTCTCTTGGGCTTCTAACAGGATACTTTGCTTTCCAGGGGCTGTTGGCTGGAAGTGCTCAGGACAATAGTTACACCTTCCCTTGTTAAAACAGTCACCATTGGGTCTTCCTCACATGGAACACACAATTCCACAAAAGACTCTCATCAACAAAATGCACATATTCTTTTCTTGTGCTTTTAGAAATGAGCAAACAAGCTGTTCGAAAGTAAGCAGTGGACTGAAGTTGATTTTCCATGGTGTGTAAAGCTAGTGTGTGTATATGAGAGAGAGACAGAAGAGTGGCCCCAATTCTGTTTTACAGATGACTGGAAACAACCAGTATGGCTTTGGAAGACTCATCATGAATCCTTGCGGCCAGCTGTAGTTTTACATAAAAGTTGTATGAAAGTCACATTCTTTTTCTCTTTAATACACTGTACTCTTCCAACTAAAGGTCACTTGCCTACCCAACAGTGATTGCTTTAGTGCTTTGTGATGTCAACAGGCTGCAGTTCGAAGAGCCTTCAGAGGGACCCTGCTGCATTACACGTAATAAAACTTTGAATTCATAGCTGAGCTTTGCCAAGCACTTGGATTTCCTGTTGTGGACTGCTGGGTTGCAACTCTCAAGTTAGGGACTTGGAAAAGTTGCTTCTTTAGGCTTAATTTTTCTTATCTGAAGTGAAAGGCATTCCAACAGTCAATGCTCAGTTTAGACTAAAGGATACAGACACACACAACCACCATTACAGTGTTTATGGATAATAATTCCCCAAGAGAGCTTAATATTTTATTTGCTATTTAAAGCAAAATATAAGTGTCAAGGGATTAAAAGTCTCTCTCTCTCAGCTCATGGCTTTATATCCATCCCCTTGGGTAGTGCCTGACAGAGGCCAGTATTTGGCTAATAGTCAACAAGTAAAGAGAGAAAGGATGAGAGCGAGAGATTAAGGAAAGGTGGCACATCGACATCCCATTCAGCAGATCTTTGTTCCCTGGGATAACAGGGCCGAACCCGCCCTAAGGAAGGTATTCAAAAGAAGCTTAATACTGTGAGTGGGGATTTCTAGAGCAACACTTTTATAAGAGGAAAGAATACATCTAAGAACTATGGCTGTTTTTTTTCCACATAAGAAGTTGCAAAGGAGGGGTCAACAGGGCCCCCTCTGATGGAGGACTGGGGTTAACAAAGAACAGGAGAGGAGAAGAGGAAAAAAGGATTTTGAGCTGAACCTTGCAAGAGAATACTGAGGCCATTGAGATTTTCAAGGTTGGAAGAGGTTTTATTTTTTTTAATTAATTAATTAATTTGTTCAAATCAGTTATACCTGACAGCAGAATGCGCTTTGATTCATTGTACACAGTGGAGCACAGTTTTTCACTTCTCCGGTTGTACACAAGGTAGGGCCACACCATTCACGCAATCATACGTGTACCTAGTATTTATATATGGGAGATGCTTTGGTGCTGCTGGAGGGAATAGTGGTCAAGAGGAAAGCGGTGTCTGCTGGGGCAAGGCCCTGGCAAGATGAGAGCCCAGGGCTAGGCTAACTGGGAGAACTTCCCTTACATCTTGACACTGAGGTGTGGGAGGATGTAGGTAAATATTTTGAAAGAGCAGCACTCATACAAACAACACCAAGGTGTTGAGCCAAGAAAACCCAGATGCTTCTAAGAC